AGAGGCTGCACGGTTTCCCCGCCTCTTCTGCAGGAGGCCTGGCAGTTTCTGCTCTGGTGGGACCAGTTGACATACGGGTAATGCCTGTTTATCTCCAGGGCGGACAACGTTGAGCAGATGCACTCTCTCGTCGTGATCCTGGCCCCGCAGACGAGTGGATGCTCACATCGGGGATATTCGGGCTATCTCCCCAGTTGTTCTTGGTCGTTCCAGGTGGATCTGTTTGCATCTGGGGACGAACCAGATTCGGTGTTTTGCTCTCGGATACCGGATCGAGAGCCATCGCCAAGAGCGCTTTCCAGCTCGATTGGACGGACAGGGTTCTGTGGGCGTCCCCGCCACTACCCTGATTCCCAAAGTCCTCTTGCAGCTTGCCACCCAACCAGCTCGACTTCTTGTGCTCCTTGCACCCCTTTGGTCGGCTCAAAGCTGGTTTCGGTACTTTCTCAGGTTTCTGGCTCAGCCTCCTGTACTATTACCCTTTCGACCCGGACTTACTATCCCAGAACGGAGCGCCGCACCCGAATCCCAGGATTCAGTGGGTGGCCTGGCCTCTGTCGGAATCGCCTCCACGCTGAAGGAATTCCTGCACCAGTTGCAGACACAATTCTGGCAGCGGAGAGAGTTCGACAAGCGTTCAGTATGAGGATAGATGGGCCTGTTATGCGGCGGCTGGTGTGTCGGCAGAGGATTCTTGATCCCTTTCTTCAACTGTAATTGAAGTACTGGAGTTCTTGCAGTCTCGGTTAGAAGCCGGTTTAGCGCGTCTACTATCGGGGCTACTCCACGCAATCTCTGCCTTCCATATCCCTGCCGACGGTGCTCTCTTGGGCAGCACCCTCTCGTACAAGCAGCTTTTAGCAAGCGTGGACAGAATCCGTCCGACTGTCCGGCGGATTAGTCCCCGATGGGACTTGTCAATGGAGTTCTTGATTGGATGTCCGGTCCTCTCTTTTCACAATCTGTCGTCTCTTTCACTCCAGCTGTTAAGTTGGAAGGCTGCCTTTCTTGTGGCGGTGCGTCTGGCAGGCGGGTAGGTGATATCCATGCGATGTCAGCGGATCCTGCTCTGACTGTCTTTCACAAAGACAGAGTCAGTATTCGGTTGCCAGACTCCTACCGTCCTAAGGTCGCTTGGCCCTTTCATATAACGAAGCCTATCGAACTGCCAGCTTTCACTCAGCCTCCATCGTCCGGTACCTCTCTTCGGGCGTGCTCACGTCTTAGATGTCCGTAAGACTCTCAAAGGCTTATATCAAACGAACGGCCGCTATCAGGAAAGATAAGCAGCTGTTCTGTTGTTATGGCGGTGGCAAAGGCTGGTCTTCCGCCAACAAGCAGACCATATCTAGGTGGCTTGTCTCTGCCATTTGTTGAGGAGTTACTCTTACAAAGGATTAACCATCCCTCAGGGTTTTAAAGGCTCGACCGGTTAGGGCAGTGGCGACATCAAAAAGCATGCATACAGCGGCACTGCCCATTGAGGAGATCTGCTCAGCGGCTATCTGGAGCCGAATCGAATGCGTTCATCCGCCACTATCAGCTGGACAAACACTCCGCGGGGAGGCGTGTTCGGTTTGGCCAGACAGTTCTCACCAGTAAGCAGTGCGGTGATTCTCTGGCGAATGAGCCTTAGAAATCACGTTTGCTTTTCTCATGGTGTAGGTGTTAATAAATTCCTCAATTTTTTATCGGTGGTGGTATCACATTGGTGGTGGTTTTACCGTATGTAGCGATTATCACCGCTACAGTCACTGTGTTCATCCCTGCACCAGCGCTGGTTTGGGTTGCTGAGGATATATATTGGACTGCGCCCATACTTTCCCTCCCATTTTGATGGTTGGGGTGGGACTTGCGTCCGCCTTTATAAATTCCACCAATAGCCTATCGGCTAGGCTCCTTTTCCGCTTTGCCGCCTGCGCCCTGATTGACATCAGCGGTCGGGTGACTAGGTGAGTGTACTTTCTCTCTCTGTATGGCGGCTTCGGCTGTGCCTTCGACTGAACTAGGGGTATGTTAGGCAGACAGAATACCACTCGACTCAACATCGTTGGGGAGTCTGTCTTATGTATATGTGTACCCAAGGAGGACTTCTTCTGAAAAGAATTTTACAAACCTGGAGAGGTTATGAATTCTTTGAAGAAAAGTCCTCCTTGGAGTAATGCTGCCCACCTCCCCTCATTCTGTCTGACCGTTCAGCATGAAAAGTGAGGTCGCAGGTACACAGCCAGAGTTACCTGCTCTTGGCTGTAGGGGCCTCTCGGGGGCCCTCTACGGGGCCCTGTAGGGGTGGTCTCACCACACATAACGAGTTTTTTGTTTGGTAAAATATTTTATTGAAATATTGTTACAACTGTCGTAGGCTTTTAAAATGGACATTTTAATGCTTATATGTACCCCAAGGAGGACTTTTCTTCAAAGAATTCATAACCTCTCCAGGTTTGTAAAAGTTTCTGCTTGTGGTACCAGCAGTGATGTTTTGTCAAGTAGCTAGCGTCCCTTAACCCGGATTTTATGGGTTGGGACTCGTCTAGTTAACCGAAGACCGTGTTGTCCGGTTTTTTGTCACTATTGCATTGTGGGTAGCATTTGCAATGGCGGGCTACTGTTTGTTTACCGTAGACTTTTGATGATGACTATGAAGTGCCCTGACAGACTTGTCTTGGTCCCACGAGTGAGTGAGTGAGTTTAGTTTTACGCCGCACTCAGCAATATTCCAGCTATATGGTGGCATCTATCTGCGCAATGGGGAACCAATGACATGTGCCTGACCACCCGATCCCGTAAGTCGCCTCTTACGACAAGCATGGGTTACTGAAGGTTCATTCTTACCCGGACCTTCACGGGTCTTGGTCCCACGAAGCGGATAACTATCCCAGCCTTTAAAGTGATGATGAACATTCCCAGTAAGAGTGATTATGTCGAGTTTCGTCAGTCAGACGAGAGAAACAGTTTACCGAGGGTATCAGACAGAATCGCCAAGAACGCTTTCACTTTGGCTAGGGTTACTCGGTTCTTAGCTTAAGCCCTCAGTTCAGAGGTCACTGCAACTGTATCCGGACTGTCCGAAGGCATCGATGTTACCCTTACGAACATTCCTGGGGTCACTGGTCTTTTTACCTCTGCCATTCACTTCATTTGGTGAACCATATGTTCCTGTGATCACTGATTATACGACCTTCATCACACTGTGTACAATGTGAACATTCCTGTCAATTGACTGACAATCTCCATGCCACGAACCTCCTAAATTCAGCACTTTTTCACTACTGTCATGATAGCTTGGCTATTCAAACGTATCTTATCTCAGGAGACATTCGTTCTTCAGTGGCAGTAGTTGCTAGGCCTTCTGACGTCAGCTCAAGCCCCAACGTACAGAGGCCATCTCCAACTTTGGCCGATACAGCGATTCTACGCTAATATCTCGAGGTCGACAACTGAACCCGAAGGAATTGATTCGCCTTCCTCAACCGCTTTGTTCAGTCCTTCAGTGGTGGCTTGACGAACGGAAGGTCTGCGCTGGAGTTTTTCTTGGTACCCCTAGCGTTCTCACAACCCAGCACTTTTTGTCAGTGGCAAGAACTTCTGGGTCTGTTGATGTCAGCTCAAGCTTTGACTCTCAGGGGATAGCTTCAACTACGGCCTCTCCAATATTTTCTGGGTCAGCACATCAGGATTGGGGTCCCTCACGCATTTATCTCTCTTCCTCCAGCACTCCATCTCCATCTCCAGTGGTGGTTGGAAGTGTTGAATGTTTGCGGCGACATCTCTTTTAGGACTTTTGCTCTAGTACATCACCTGTACGTAGATGACTCTCTACACGGGTGGGGAGCTCACCTTCTCAATCAGCAGGTGGCAGGGCTGTGGTCTCCCACAGACCGCGCATGTCACATCAACGTTTTGGAGCTCAGGGCAGTGATTCTTGCGATCGCTCATTGGCAACACCAAGCTTTTGATTCGATCAGACAATGCTGCAGTCGTGTGGCACATCACTCAAATGGGGTCCACGGGGTTTCCACAGCTTCTTCAGTGGACACAACAGTTTTTCTACTTAGTGAACTCTCTCAACACCACGGTCCAGGCCAATCATATCCCAGGGGTGAAAAACCTCATTGCAGATTCTCGTTCCCGTCCGGTTCCACCATCCCTGACGGTGTGGGAATGGCATCCGCAGGTGGTCCAGACTTTGTGCCTTCCGATGTCGAACAAGACAGTGGATCTGTTTGCTAGCGGCTTCAATCACCACCTCCCCAATCCTGGATCCTTTGGCCTGGGAACACGACACTCTAGCCATCCCCTGGGACGACTTGAACGTGTATGCGTTTCCACCAGTGGTACTACTTCCACGCATACTGCTCAAGGTACACACGATGCAGCGGATGACACTGATTTTGGTCACACCTTTTTGGCTGGCCAGAAGTTGGTTTGTAGACATGACCGATAACTGCAAAGGGATATTTCAAGTGAGTTGCTGCTGCGATTACCACGGTACACCGAACCTCCTCTAGGTCACTCTATGATGACAGATTACTGGAAGCTCCAAGACGAGAATGACAGCTAGGGGAGGTCACATGATCATCTGAGCACACTGCACCCTTATAGAGATGATTGACAGGTCATGCTGTCGGAGTGGGGGCAGAGGTCAGGTGGTACAGAGGCCAAGAAGTTTTGATTCAACTTAGCCTACAGCACGTTTCCACATGTGGGTCGAATAAGAAGAGAGAGGTGCATACCATGAGATAGGATAAGTATATAAATATACAATTTATGTTTAAAATTTCCAACTATGTTCCCCATCAATTTTCAGTGTTTGATTATTGATGTAATCACTTCACAGTATAACACTTACAGTCTCTGTAATATGAATTACTTGCTAGATTGATCTACACAGTGTGTTAATGAATGCAGGGGTGATGGATCTACGGGAATTGAATTTGCTGGGACTGCCAAATTGCCAGAGCTGAGATCCATTTTAAGATGTATGTTTGTGTATGTTTCAGTCCCTGCGAGACCTGGACTATGTGGTGAAGGACAAGACGCTGCTGGAGAGTGTGATGGACACTGAGTTCTTTGATGTGCAAGACAAGGGCATACTCTACAATGGTATTATCTTCATGACTCAGGGTTAAACCATCCTTGGTTATCTAGTTTAATATTATCCATGAAATCATGCGTACCGTGGACCCAACTCTCTTGTGTCTGACACTGCACAGAGTTTCACTCTCTCATGAGTATAGTTTGTTGAATTTCTAGTGGTGTTCCACATGAAATTATGGTAACAAATGGAGCCAGGATATTTATCGCCGTTGACTGGAGAGTTATACCTGGATAATGAATTGCTTAGTACTGACCTTGATATGTAGGTGGTCCCAATGCATAGCAGATAAAAAGCCTTCTAGGTGTTTGTTTATGTTGAATTTGTGTGTGTGGGTTTTATGTCCAATCATTGACCACAAGGCCCACAGGTAAATCATTTCCACTCATCATTTGGTCTAATACGAATCTGGAATAGGTTAACAACCGGACTCTTCAAATCAATTCTGTTACTCATGTCACTCACAAGTAGAACTCTAATCACTGCTGTAAAAGTCACATGTTTCCCCAAATTGTGTTTTTTCAATACTTGATAAAAAAGTCATTCTAGTCAAGTCACAGTGACAACTGATCCACTTGGCTACTATAAGACAAGAAGGATTACAGGGAATCATTTTGCTGTTAAGCATTCATTGTTAACTATATCCCATGTTCTCTTCTCCAGACAATGGGCACTCATTTGACCAGGTGCTGTTTATTGGCAATGAGTCCTCACTCATCATCTTTGACACCCTTCTCTTCTGCATCGTTGATCTCATCGCCACTGACTTTGTATTAGCTGGAGTCATTACCTACCTTGTTTCACAGGTACGATTCTTTGACGTTTATTATTCGTGAAATTGGATTTAAGTGTGTCTGTTACAGAATGGTATGCAGGTTTAAGTCATCGCTTGACTGTATATACCTTATGCTGCTTTATCAGGAGGGATGTAATGATTGATTGACATACACTACTTTAAAAAGGTCATCAGATGACCGATGTAAACCGAAGGACTCTTGCATTGTGAGATTTCATGCAAGTGAGTGAGTTTAGTTTTATGCCGCACTCAGCAATATTCCAGCTATATGGCGGCGGTCTGTAAATAATCGAGCCTGGACCAGACAATCCAGGGATCAACAGCATTAACAGCGTTCTACGTAATTGGGATACGATGACGTGTCAACCCAGTCAGCGAGCCTGACCACCCAATCCTGTAAGTCGCTTCTTACGACAAGCATGGGCTACTGGGGATAAATTCTAACCCAGACCTTCACAGGTCGGTTTCATGCGATGTACACAGTACATATTGTTTATAGTTGACGCCTTGTCTGCCCGCCCTTCCATCCGCCTGTCCGTCCATAATCATTTTGTTTCCAGAGCGTAACTCAAAAACTGTTCAATATCTTTCAACAAAAATTGGTAGATATATCAAAGAGATACTAAAGTGGTGTCTTTTGTTATTTACAAATTTTGTGATTTATATTTTTCGTGGTTTCCCTGGAAACATTTTGGACTTCGTCTTAAAAGGGAGGGGTGGACTTTGTTTCCGGAGCACAACTCAAAAACTGTTCAATATCTTGGCAGATATATGAAACACATCCGAAAGTGGTGCCTTTTGCTATTTACAGATTTTTGTGATTTTTATTTTTCTTGGTTTCCATGGAAACGTTCTGGCCTTAGTTTCAAAAGGGAGGGGTCGGCTTCATTTATGGAGCACAACATTAACACCGTTTAATATCTTTCTACAAGACTTGGCAGATATATCAAATAGATCTTGAAGTGATGCCTTTGCTATTTGCAGATTTTTGGCATTTATTTTTTTCATGATTTCCATGGAAACGTTTTGGATTTAGGCTAAAAAAAATCAAGTTGGACTTTAAAGTAACTGTCAAGTGATTTTGTTCTTTCCAATTTATTGGGGGCCGGGGATTTGTCATCTTCTGATGACTCTTGTTTCTGTAGTGGGTGGTGGGGTAACCTAGTGTTAAAGCGTTCGGTCATCACACCATGGGCATAATTTGTGATGCCTGTTTCTGGTGTCCCCCGCTGTGATATTGCTGGAATATTTCTAAAAGCGGTGTAAAACCCAACTCACTCACTCACTATCTTTTCTGTATCAATGCAAGACGATACAGTAGGTAAAGTACTTTTTTACTCATAACTAATGACACTCTCCTGCATTTTGGCCATTATATATCGCAAAATAATTGTAATTAGCATTATGAGTTTACTACTAAAAATAGCTGCTACAAACTTGCTTCTACAGCTAGCTTTTCCCATGGAACCCGATCTGAAATATTCATAGTCAAGAGGTTGCCATGCCATTTGATGAGGATATGTGGAGTATGTTAGGTATTATATACTGGACAAAAATAGTTAGGGATATATGTAAATTTTGAAATTATAAATAATGATCTATTTATTCACTGACACACTGATAAAATATCAATCATAAAAATACCAATATCCCTAACTTATTTTGTCCAGTATATCTTGATTCGTGTACCACAATATGTGTCTTATCTTGATCTATATACACAAACATTTCATGTATCTAAATATGAGTAAATGACGAAAGTGTTAGTTCTCTCTCAATGTCAGTCATTATATGTGTTCCAGCTGATCGTCCTGGTTCGAGACAGTGGGGGAAGGAAGAACCTGGCCAAGAAGACTCTGGTTGATGAGAGATTCTTGATATGAGGGCTGACAAGACTTACAGCTGTATGTCAGAGGCTGGTTAATGTAAAGGAAGCAAAGACACACGTGCTTCAGAATGTGTTCATTTTACCAGTCTGTGGGAAACAGACTTTGAGTCTTCTAGCCAAGCTTTTCAACTGGCATATCGAGTAGATTTGGTGTACACAATAACTGGCATGTTCATCAAATGTCCATTTCTAGCATCTAAGCATTATTTTTAAAACCATATATCATAACCTTCGTTACATTTGAAAGATCCAAAGATGCTCCTGACGCAGCCGAGATCAGTTGTTCTCACATTTGTTACGTAAGTCTGAGTGAAATGCTCAGATTCTCGTACATTTAGTAAGTAAACTGTTGGCTCAGACATGACTCTCCAGTCAATGTGAGATGACAAATGTGATCATGGCACACCACATCAGATGTTGTTACAGTAAGATTCTCACCAGGTTTTCAAAAAAAACAACTTAAACCTGACCACTTATTACAAAATGTTGATCACAAGAAATTCGTCCATGATGTAGTGTCAGCTGATTTTCCTGAACTCCTGATGTATCAGAAAATATGGAACAGATCTGATTAATGCTTCATAAAATCAGCATGACAGTATTATTCTTAGTCTGTCTGAAAACTAGAGGAGAAAGGTTAACTAGCGTAATAGTATGCCATGTTTAGCATAATAAGGAGAGGAGAGTCTCATTGCACTCAGCCATTGTTGTGCTATGTTAACTTCTATGCATTAACAGCAGTCATACTACTGAGACTGCTTAGTGCAACAGGGAGTGGAGGCCAGTGATGAGATCTCTGGCCACATCATACCAAGAGATTTTGACATATGTTACTTGTTACCCTCCCTGGCTCTAAACATTAACTAATTGAAACACTAACAGCTCATAGTCACAATACTATGCCTGGTTGGTGTGTCCAGGTTGATATGGACAGTGGGCTAATCAGTACTGTAAAACCTACATTAGTCTTGGCTAGTGCATGCAGACACACAGACACATAAGCAGGCACATGACGATATAAGTTAGTAGCCTTGAATGTGACCTTAAACCCCATATCACCTCACCTCATGACAGCTTCGATATACCTGTGAACTGACAGGGGTGGGGGAGTACCCTAGTGGTTAAAGTGTTTGCTCGTCACACTGAAGACCCGAGTTTGATTCCCCACATGGGTACAATGTGTGAAGCCCATTTCTGGTGTCCTCTGCGATGATTGTGCTGGAATATTGCTAAAAGTGGCGTAAAAAACACACTCACTCACAGTTCTGGCACTGTCAGCTCATGGTTTGTCTGATCCAGGCTTTATCTCATCAGTCACCTTTCTCCGCTGAGCTAAGAGTTTCCTGCTGCCAGCGTATAAACCATAGACACAGTGAGCACTCTACAGCTCTACAAGACCTCCAGTCTTGTTATCTACCTATAAAAGACTGGGCCAACTCCCCTGTCTCTTGAATTACGCTGGTTCTTACAACCATATGTGTGCCATATATTGACATACTGACATTAGTTGTGCTAATATATGACCCAGTTCAGATCTGATGTATGTACTGAACATGGTGAAATGGTCACAATTGTACAAATATGATGTTTTATGTTTATGAATCCATATGTTTTATATACACTTTGATGTACAGTTTTTGTCAATATTGTCCCAAATGTTTGATATGTCACTTTACAAACCTGTCCGTCCTGTTGAGGAAAACGTGAATCACATTCCATTTGTAGACAATGGAGGTTATTTTATGTATTTTGTATTATATTTTAGTGACAGAATTACAGTTTTGATTTTTTTTCTGAGCAAGTTTATAAATCATGTTGTGATACAGATATTGGTGCATAAATCAAATGGTTACTTGTTTGATATAAAACTATGGGCATTTCTGCTCAGAATACTCAATTCAGGAACTATTACATGAAAGGCCTGGAACTTCATGAACTAAATGGATTCAAATTTGAGGCAAAATCATCCAAACACTTGAAAAGTACATTGCTGTTCACAGTTAAACATTCTGAAAATGTTTGAACGCTATGTTCTGTTACTATACTCCTTTCCGTCCACTGTAGGCTCACCAGTGACCAATGTATCACGCCTTACAAAGATAGAACGATATGCTGTTGTGGAATGAGATTGATATATGCAGGTAGCTGACATATTTTTCAATGGTAGGCCTGTACACATGCACATGCATGTGCGCACGCACACGGGAAAATTTATCCATATCCTGTAACTCTTGGAAAGATTTCTTAAATTATAAGTTTGTTTGTTGTTTATGTGTATTCATCAGTCCATCCATGTACATAATATACTTGTACAGTATAATAAATTATTTTCATAGATTTCATTATTTGTTTGGTCTTTATATGTGGGAAAGAAACGTGGATGACCTGTCTCATATGCAGACCCTGCACACCAAGCTGGGTGAATACTGTGATGTATTGGGACTGATCATGTTTGGAGAATCAGCAAGTGGATTTTTATATTTAATTATGGATACAAAAATAGGGACTTCTGTGAAAAAGTACCAGGTAAATGGTAATTGGTAGTCTGTTTTGTTTGGTATAATCCCAGACAGTGGAACCTGCCTATACCCATTTATTAGGTCAAACATGCTGATGTACCTGGCCTATTGGACAAGTCAGTCATTGATTCTCGGTACTGGGTAAGAGTCTGTTTCATGTCTGTGACTAACATCAGCCGCAATTATTCAAGGTGAACTCAGGTCACTAAAACTTGATTCAGTTGTCTCATTGTTCATTGTCTTGCATGCAGTGAACTTTTGTCTTCAAGGCTTCATGCTTGATTTGGATTCATCCGTTTGGGATGTAGTTCCTCAGACACAGCGGTACCTACACCTGTATCATGACACTCTAAATCTGTATAGCAAGCCACACCTGGAAGCAAGTGAGCAAACCCTTGATGTAACTTGACACTTGAGCCAAATGAACAGATGACAAACTTAACATCTGAATTAGCTGAAACTTCAGAATTGGTAAAGTCAGCAATGCCTTCAAACTTTACAGGGTCCCTGACTATATATCAATAATGTATGTACCATGAGACCAATTATGTGATTGTTGGCAAAAACATCCACAGTATGGCAATCAGTAGAAAGCCTACCCCAACATGATGAAAGATACTCCAACAAACTCTTCAAAGAACATAATGGCCAAAGACATGGTACAAAAAGCCATAACACATGATTAAGCCATTGCTCCATCAGGTGTTTTTTCGGTCCATGAACAGTATGACCACCAAAGCCTAGGTCAACCCGACTGAAGCCTAAGAAATCCTGTAGTGACCACCTTATTGTACATTACAACCAAGGATTACTTCATCTGAATCCTCAGTCTCAAAACAGGAAGTCCTTATTATATTCATTGGAGTGTATCTAAAGCTCCCCGAGATTCAGGATGTTATACACTAGACTTCCTCTGAAGAGTGTGCCTTCCTAGCAAGAATTCTGAGTTCTGTTTTGAGTTCCTGTTGGAACTTCATCATCTGCTTCCCATCCAGAACCAGTTCCTTAACAGCCAAATTGTAAAATTGCTTAGTACACGCCCTTGGATATTTAGACAGGCCAAAAATATGATCCATTACAAATGCCAGCCAAAAGGTGGTTAGTAAAGTCTATACGAACATGTTAATGCCTGATTGGACTGTTCGTGTAAACTTAACTAACTTGTGTTTTCTGTCATTATAACTGTTGGACGCTGCGATCTGACTCAAACGGAGACACATAATTACATACAATCCCAGATGTATTGCCATCTCAAAACGGTATGAACTTTTACTAATACGCCACTCGATGTGCAAACAGAATTTATTATTTGAAGCATATTCTTTGTCTCAAAGCGAGTAAATACGTTCGGAGCATCACCCCCTCCAAGACGTTCAGACTACAGGCACACGTGTAAGCAAACAAGTTGGTGAAGACATTATTAGTTTCAATATTTCAGTATGATTTGTCCTTGTCACTCTCGCTCTGTTGTCTGTTTTCACGTGGAATACTTACACTTTTCCCGCCAATATCATTTCCTTCGTAAAAGATTGAGGACACTTACCATCAGACAACATGTTTGTAGGTACTCGGTTGGGAGGTAATACAGTATAAGTTTTAGTCCGTCTCACTGTCCCTGAACCGCATTAGTTCCCCTTCGGCACAGTCCTTTCTGCAATGCTATGGCCCTAAATGAAGCAAGTCCAGATTTCCTCAGGTTCTGAATCTCTCTTCTCACTGGGGATCCTTTTCAATGTAAAAAAGAACTGTTTCTTTTATCAACAAAATATATATTCAGAGACTGGCTGTGTAAGTTTCTTCCTCGATCAGCTTGAGTCGTGCTAAGGAAACCCTAGTGAGTGAGTTTAGTTTTACGCCGCTTTTAGCAATATTCCAGCAATGTTACGGAGGGGAACACCAGAAACGGGCTTCACACTTGGTACAAATGTTGGGAATCGATCCCGGATCTTCGGCGTAACGAGCGAACGCTTTAACGTCTATATAATCTTTTTTATTCCTCCATAGTGAAGAGTACAGACAGAGACAATATTTATGCACTTATTTCAGGATTTTCATGCATATTTGAGCCAGAATCACGTTTTTTGTAATCAGTCAAAGGCAAGAGTCACAATGAGTCACTGGAACACAGCTTTGTACATCATGGTGATGTATTTTATACACAGAGTGGAAAACTCAATCAAGTCCTCTTTGATCAGAGGGAAGTCGGTTGTACACTACAACAAGCACTCAGTTTGTTGTGTTCAGTTGGGTTAATATTGTGAAGTTTCATGCTGAATTCAATTGGCCCAACATTGATAAGGCCTATCCACAGTTCGTCTCGAGTTACTGATCTGTGTATCCACACACAACTACGGCGTGAGTCAGGGGGTCATCATACATCAACCCACACCGATGACACAGCCCTGCTTCACATAGGTCTCTCACTGTAGCACAGGCTTTGATGACAAAGTTAGCTTGCCGTCTGAGTGATGCATCAAGCAATGACACCGTCCATGCAGGATTGACTTCAAGCTGGCGATGTAGACGGAGGGCAACACCAGAAATGGGCTTCACACATGGTACAAATGTTGGGAATCGATCCCGGGTCTTCGGCGTAACGAGCGAACGCTTTAACGTCTATACTACCCACCGCTACTAACAGAACTGCTTGCTATTCAGCAACCCATGTTTGCAGAAAGATTCGACTAACGGGCCCCGGTGGTCAGGCTTGTTGACTTGATTGATGTATGTCATCGTATCCCATTTGAGTAGATCGATGCTCATCATGTCAGTCACTGGATTGTCTGGTCCAGACGGTTATATATGCAGAGCACCGACATATAAGTGGAATATTGCAGTGTAACTGAATGAATATTCGACAGAAACTAAGTAGACAAGGTGCCCGTGTTAACTTAATATAGAGATTGTAATATGAATAATACCATACCAATAAATACCCTAATTTCACCAATGTATCGGCTGTCACCACAACACTGCTCCACCAAACAGTGCAACAGGAATGAAATACACTGAGGATATCCATTAAGATGCGTAGGGGCGGTGGGGTAGTCTAGTGGTTAAAGCGTTGGCTCGTCACGCCGAAGACCCGGGTTCGAATCCCCACATGGGCACAATGTGTTAAGCCCATTTCTGGTGTCCCCCGCCGTGATATTGCTGGAATATTGCTAAAAGCGGCGTAAAACCAAACTCAGTCAGTCAGTCAGGCATTAAGATGCGTACAACATACGTACCGTCCTCGGAAACCATTTGTGGGTCTCAGCCTTTCCCATCAGTGACTGTCAATACACAGGGATGTCTCAGCAAGTGCTTGTTGTGAGTCTAACTGGGTTTAACGTCGCTTTTTAACATTATGTTCTAAGACATGGCTGACTACCAATACGATCGAGTTCACTCTAGGACTTCATATCATCGTTATTTAACGAATTACATATGATTTTAATGTCACTACCGAACCTGTCATTGAAATTTGAACCAACATGGTTCTTTATAACCGATTCTGTCGACTATGTTTATCAGTCAATGAATAACGAATTTTAAAAAACAGACGTTAACAGGCGATATTTTGGGATAATACTCTCCTCATTGGGTATAAATTCTATTACCTTTGCACAGCACACCCTTACCAGGTACCCCATGTATGGGTATCAATATTATCTAGGAATAACTTTAGTGTTTGGCATCTGGTTTAGGATCTGACATTTTGTACCAAAACTCCCTTTTTTAATTTAAAAATGCACAAATATATGTTTATCTGCAAAACAAATCCATAATTTCTGGCCAAGAGCGTAGGCAATATGCACTTGACTATAAAGTGAGTAGAACATTCATTTAATATATTCTCTAGGGCTTTGAGACAGTCTAGGGAAGACAAGGAGTTGTGAAGGCTACCTCCCTATATGGAACATGAAAGTCTGGCCCATATTTCATCAGCTGTTATCTATATCTTCAGTAAACAAGCTTCAAACTTTGACCATCTGATGCAATAAACGCTTTATAAAGAAAATCAAAACTGCTCTGTGAACACAATAATAAATAATAACTGAATGCTTGAGCCGTACATGTAAGTGCCGTTTTAATTATATTATACATGGGAAAATAGAATTATCAGTCCAGGCAGACGCGGAACACATATTGTGAAAATACTTTTACCGGTATGCATAATTCAATATTGCAATAGAGTTGCCTCCCTTAGCAATATTGGGGCCTCTCCACTGACATCAACTTTCGATCTCCACTTGACGTACAGGTTAGAGTTAATGAGACTCTTGAAATATTTGTTTTACAGTCTGCTATGCGTGATCTATTAACGTTTAATTGATCTCTATATTTCAGGACAGCATTTAATAAACTGACCACGTACATTATGTCATATATGGAGTTGAAGTTGACCTTTACCTGTTTCTCAATCACAAAAAAGCAAGGCCTAGTATCATTTTAAAAGAACTTTCATTCTATGGTCTTTTTTTAAACAATTTCCAGGATATCGTGACGTCTTTGGGAAATATTAATTTGCCATACTGTATGTGTTATGTATATGTGTAGTTTAGCTAGCTTCATATATCATTATAATCAAAAACATTCAAGAGCGAGTTATATCAAACGCTTTGACCAGTTGTTGAGCCGAGCAATGTTTCTTTTTTTTTACAAACCTGCACTAAACAAACGTTAATATTTAAATGTGTCATATTTTCTTTATCATAATGCCATATACATACCATATATTCTCTTGACCATTCGACCCCAATGTCTTTTACAGCTTGACTGGAACTCTTCTGCATAGTCAACAGCAACGTTACCAGTGAAAATGTTTGGGAAGATTGTAAGTTAAAAAAATTATTAATTTAATAAAACAGATGTTAAGTGATATTTATTATATTGTAGCTACTAGTATATAAATGATCAACTTTTATTTACCATCCCCAGGACCAATCTCAAATCCTTCGGCCAGAGATCATTCTCATTCTGTGCTCCTTCTCTCTGCAACTGTCTTCCTTTTGATATCAAAACCTCCCCATCTTTAGCTGTCTTCAAGTCCAAACTTAAAACCCATCTCTTCTCCAAGTTCTATCCTTGATACCTGCGCTTTGAGCAACCGCAACGGATGAGAAATAGCACTTATTATTATTATTATTATTATTATTATAAATTGAAGGCAAGTCCACATTCATCTAACATTCTCTCTGAAATGTGCTGATTTGAAACAAAACATATCTTTGTGATTTTTATGGCTGTGTGTAGATGGAGAAGAAAAGAAATTGCTGGTTGTTTGGGGAGCAAAAGTATAAACAATATATGAATGCAACATCAGGAACACCATTGATCATACATGTCTACAGTGCAAATCAGACTTGTTGCTCATGTAAAATAACTTGATTTGACAACATGAAAACAACTGCCATTTGTCTTGAGCAAACAGACAAAGTGGCCATGTCTGCCAAACTATTGCTTTCACACAGTCAAATGAGTGACAAAACAGGTATGAATTTCCCATTGTCAGTATGGAACATTAAACATTACAATATATCTTGTGGAGATTAAACAAATAGGATTAACTATTCTTGGCTCCCATTTTTTTGTGATATGCTGTAAGTATATTTGAGATTGTTTAAATTCAGGCATTTTTCTTGGCTGGTGTCTCATGAGGCATATTTGCAGATCAACACTACCGCGGTAATTCTTCACTTACTTGTTAGATGGTTTAGAATTATGTTGGGTATTTATATGTTCTCTACCATGTTTTACTTTTGTCAAAAGCATAGGTGACATGAATTTGGAACCAAGTAGTTTGAGTGCCACTGTTTGCTATGCAGAGTTGTGTCTCTTGGCTACACCAGGAACAGCTGATCATGGGCTTGAATCACAGATTCACCTAATTATCATTATTTTAAGAGGGGGTGTCACCCATTTTGTTCTGGGGAGGGAGGGTCAGCAATTTTGTACACATGTTTCTAGGGGTCAGCAATTTTATACATGTTTCTAGGGGTCAGCAATTTTGTACATAAAAATATTTTAAAATTATGCTTAAAATACATTGGAGGGGGGTCATTGATTTTGTACATAACATGCAGGTGGGTCACTTTGTACATAAATTTTAGGGGGTGTCATTCACATTGTACATGCTTCTCCATAAAAATCATCACCCCCTGGCCATAAATTATGAATGGTCCCTAATTGGTCATGTTGTACCACACTCTTGAAACTTCATATCTGAGTGGTAACTTCAGAGTCATTCCAGCCCTGATCTGCATTGATGTTCAAGGCTGACAATGATGTGCCATCTATTTTGTGTTCACAGTTACCCCGAGTAGATAATCCTCAGGATATCTGGGCCAAGGTGAAGGAGTTTTCAGAAAAATACAAGAAAGATGACGCAGGATCATCAAAGGACTAGACCATGATGATAACCACAAACACCTGAGATAAATCTCTATGAATGGTGTGCTGTAGGACATGAACATGGGCATGGATGTTGAGAAATGACTTAGAGCCTCTCCTGCTGATCTTCAAGAATCTGACAGTATTGAGTATATTTATATACAGTTTGGCCTCGTCAATCATTTTCTGATGGAGAAAGAGTTCTGAAGCCATTATCAAATTTACTGAGTATCTGTGGTTGGGATTCCCAGCCATTCCTTGTGTGTCGTAGCAACACATGACAAGATATATACCTGGAAAATATTTAAGCATCGTAAGTGTATCCCGGTATTTCGACACAAAATAGAAACATTTTTAAAATTGTATCCTGCTTTTGTTTCCAGCACCATGACTAGGATTACAAAGTAACACTACTGACTAATTCCAGCTAGTTTGAAGCTGCTTTGTGTGAAGTAGCCAGATCTGGAGGAAAAACAACTTGTCTCTCTCCATTTTACACTCGTCTCTGCTTAAGGACTTGTGGCCATGTCCATCCCTGCGCAAACTGAAATACAGAAACCAACATGGATATGAAATGGAAGTTATTTGATGACTAACTTTTACATTAGTTCCCCGCTCCTTGCTTCACTTCTTATTCTGACTGACTTTTGTCAGGAATTGGTAGAAACATCATAGGTAGGTATTTCCAAACATTTAGGAAGCGTGAAAATATAAGAGTGGTGTTTAATTTTATTTCAGGTGTATATTTACTTTAGTTGTCAAGCCCTATTTATGACCTATCATATCTGTTAATGTCATGCAACACTTGATGACCATCCTCCAGCGACTATACTGATTCACACCATTCAGGTTATCACTTAGCGTCATGACTGTTACATAAAGCCATTGAATACTCTGTTTACATGTATATATGTAGCAACGTCCACAGAGAATATTTCATCCACGGGTTGGCAAAGTAATTTGGATGTGTTGGATTACTGAATTCATTCCCCTTTGTCATGAGCCATGCATCAGGGATGAGTCATGTTAAATCTACCCTGACGCTGAAGAGTTCTTGTAAGTGTTCTTGTAAACATCTACAGTTCATATTTAATTATTACCAGTGCTGCCCAGTAAGGCTGATTAAGGCAATGTGAGAACAAAATACTCTGGTAGAGCAGCATGATGCATAAATAACTTGGTTTAGTAAAAGATGAATTATTGAATTACATTGAACATTGCATGGAAATGAGTTATTTTCTCTTTGTATCGTAAGGTTTGTTTTAGAAGAGATAACAAACAATCACCCCATAGCGATAGGTTTACATTGGTAGTAATAGTTCAGGTATTTTCATCATTGCTCCTTTTCTTACTCAGGATTTCTTACAGAATATCTTTGACAAGTTTTGTGCTGTGAGATTGATGTGTGTATGTTCACGTGAAGAACTGTAAGAAGATGAAAAGAGTGAAAATGTATAAAACCCCTTCTCTTTGGTTAATAGTCACTAAAACTAACATGTTTGGATGTGCAACAAACAGGTAGTTTAATGGTGTATAATCATTAATCTCGGAAATTATGTTATATTGTGATATGGTAGTTATATTCTTGTTTATGATGATCAATCATAATTCATATTTGAGTAACTGAGGAAGAGAATTTGTACATAGACAACTGAAGTGAATAAAGTATTTTATGATGTGCTATGATTACATTATATTGTTTGTGCACTGTATTTCCAAAACCTAATACAATTTACATATTGCATTAACCTGACCACACAGCCAGTGTGCTAATGTTGCAGAATCTAAAAAGAATATCCTAAATCTGATTGCATAATGCATTAATACAAGTCTTGAATCACAAGTCGTAAGGTATAACACAGCTGACAAGCTGATAACTTCTTGAAGAAATTCAAGTAAAACAGAGCCAATTACAGACACGGTGCAAGTATCCGTATGTGTGGGAGGTGTATCATGTTTGATTGTTTAACGCCACTCAGCAACGTTGCAGCTATATGATAGTGGGCAGTAAATAATCGAGTCCGGACCAGACAATCCAGTGATCAACAGCAGGAGCATCGATCTACACAACTGAGATACAATGAAATGTGTCAACCAAGTCAGCGAGCCTGATCACTCAATATCGTTAGTTGTCTGTTCGGTCAAGAATGGGTTGCTGAAGACCAATTCTAACCCGTATCCTCATGGGTCAGGTGCATCATACACCCTAGTCTACATGTAGTGTTTATTAATACAAAGTTCTCTGACCTAATAAAAAGTGAGTGTAAGTTGGATATAGTTAATTATTTTGCTGATGTCAGCATAATATGGAAACTCAAAGTGATACAACCTACTTGGGTGCAAACCTAGGATCATATTTGGGCAAATCCAGACTTTCAGCGATCTAAACCAAGCTCTAGGCACAGATGAGGAATAAAGTTTCAGAGAGCCGTTTGTTTTCTTGTCTTCCACGCATTCAGCAACATTCCAGCTGGACGATGACAATTCACTGAATGTCCACTGACTCACATCATGATCATTGAAACATAGAGGATACTAAACTCGCTTCCGTGTAATACCATTTTTTTTAAACGAGTTAATGATTTGGTGTCGAACGAGCGAAAGCGAGTTTGATACTAAATCTTTCACGAGTTTAATAAAAATGGTATTTCGCGGATGCGAGTTTAGTATTCTGTTTATTACTCTCCAACATAAATTGATAGAAACTGCGGCTCTCAGCTCTCAGTGTGATGACTCTCAGCTTTCCGCGAGTCAAACAAGGTCTAGTACCATTGTGACAGCGGCATTAGCATTGTAACGTCATAACTGTGAACCTTTATGACGTCATACGTCTAGCGGTATTACACTAGTGTAATATTGCCGTAAAAATATTACACTGCAGTATCTTCCGCGCGGTGAAGTAATACATACTATTATTGCCTCTGGGCTATGACATTCAGTTAAACCAAGTCACAGAGAGTGCGTCATTATCGAAGCAGGGGTGGAAATAAAATTGCTAGTGTGCTCCGGTACAGTTGCACATGTAAAATCACTTGCCCTGATAATTTTTCCACTATACTGGCCACTTTTCTTGTTTTGTTTTTAAATAAACAACATAATTAACATTGGAAAGTCAACTGGACACCCGGTATGGCGTGATATACAAATTTGCTTGCTTACGACAGAAAAAAACTCTACAAGTCGGGCAATTTATTTCCACCCCTGTCAGGATCAATATTTCTTTCCGAGAATCTGAAATGTTGTAGATGGAAGAGTGACAGTGCCTCCCAAAAGGAACAATCAGCCTTTTAATCTGTCTAGTGGTCTTTACTGTCAATATAATTATTATAACAAGCTGAGGGAGCAATATCTTCACTAGATTTCAGGTATGCTGTATGGCTAGAGTATCTTCCTGAAATTCAATCACAATACTTTCTGAATGTGATTGTGAAGATTGGGATATTGCATGTCGTTTCTATTCATAAACTGATCATTTATTAGTAGTGAGTGAATTGGGTTCAACACTGCTTTTAGTCCAGTTATATCAGGGCACATCAGCTTTACATGGCAGAAGAGACAGGTTACTGGTGCACCAAAGGAAGCAAACTCTGCAACCCACTGAATAACAACCAAGTCCATGTTCATACAAAATGTTGTATTTCTTACATCTTGGTAATTCAATAACAGATCTACTTTCATATCTGCATCCAGTGATAACATCTGGCACACAAACAAATTTATCCTGAATCAAGCGTGATCAGGTGACAAACAGTGTATGAAATAAGCTAAAAATCAGCCAGACATCAGGACTGGTAACTTCAAAATGTTACCAGCCCAAAATGGATTTAACCAGAAGATATGGTGAATTTGCTTGCCGATGTATGGAACATCTAAGATTTGTACCAGACCATAAAGTAAATTTAGACCGTCGTCAGAAATCTAGCCCGTCTGGAAGGTGATTAGGGGCGAGGTAGTCTTATTTCTTACACTGTGACAATAGAGCATAGTCACATTAAGCATTCAATCAGTACTCTCTGTGAGGGGCTCACATAAACAACTTGCTCAAAGCGTCACCCAACTTCAGATGCACAGTCACCTAACCAAACTATGATTGCAGTTACATCCTCTGAACAAACACATTTCATCACAGCTTCGTTTTTATCCAACACTGCACTATAATGAATCAAAGCTCAAACATATTTGTTAAACAGATACAGTCTCCAAGGTTTATTTGATCCAGTGAAGCATGAAATGACATCAGGGGATTATTTGTTCTTTAACAGTTTTCATAAATTGTCTAAAATATCTTGAAATTGGATAGACGGTTTGCACTGGTCAACATTCTGGCATCAAGTTGTGGAGAATTTTTGTATCGTATTATTATCTAAACTATATGAACAAGCATAAAAGTATTTGAAAATACATCATCTTTGTTTTCCTTTGCTGTGACAACAATGGAATCTAGTCATACATCTATCATTCCAAACTGTGTAGTGTGGACATTGTGCTCGCTGTGATAAAGACTGTGCACATTATTCTGCCAAATTAATTTATACAAGACTTAACATTGTATGTTAATAGTCATCTAAGACATAAAGGAAGTGTTCGGGGGAAGACAAGATGAAGTAAATCTCCTGTTTTAACCAGATAAACAGTTCAACATGTTGTATTGTTTGTGAAACACGTTAATTCATTACTGAAACAAAAACATCACTATGAATCTAGGTTGAATTCTCTCCAATCAACACATCATATTCTGCATATGAATTTACCAGGCTGGCATGAAAACAGAAGCGAAAACACACAAACCAATGGTTGATACAATGTGAGCATCCATTGTTAGGATGTCACCCAGACATGTCACAGCTGTTCACTGATTGTAGTCCTAAGTACAGATGATTAGGTGTCAATTACACCACCTGTATTATTAGCATAAATCTAAAGACTATTTCAGATTTCTGTTGTTGAACTCTGAAAAAATCTTAAGTTGCTGTTTTGGTACCAAATTCTCTCCTGTAAACTGCCCTTTAAATGCATGGGAATGTTAAATCGGTTGAAATAAAAATTAGGTAGACAATAGACGAGTTGGTATATTGACAACATAGTACATTTATCACCTTTATAAAGATATTAAGGCTAAAAAGCATTTTTCTAGCATTTCCGACAGTACTATAGTGTAATATTGCCGTACAAATATTACACTGCAGTGTCTTCCACGGGCGAGTAATAAATGCTATTATTGCCTCTGGGATACTATGACATACAGTTAAACCAAGTCACAGAGTCCGACGACATTATCAAGGATCAATATTTCTTGCCGAGAATCTGAAATGTTGTAGATGGAAGAGTGACAGTGCCTCCCAAAAGGAACAATCAGCCTTTTAATCTGTCTAGTTGTCTTTACTGACAATATAATTATTATAACAAGCTGAGGGAGCAATATCTTCACTAGATTTCAGGTATGCTCTATGGCTAGAGCATCTTCCTAGAATTCAATCACAATACTTTCTGAATGTGATTGTGAAGATTTTGATATTGCTGAGTTTCTATTCATAAACTGATCCATTTATTAGTGAGTGAGCGAATTGGGTTCAACACTGCTTTTAGTCCAGTTATATCAGGGCACATCAGCTTTACATGGCAGAAAGATATGTCACTGGTGCACCAAAGGGAAGCAACCCACTGAATAACAACCAAGTCCATGTTCATACAAAATGTTGTATTTCTTACATCTTGAGTATGTCAATAACAGATCTGCTCGCCATCTGCATCCAGTGATAACATCTGGCACACAAACAAATTTATCCTGAATCCAACGTGATCAGGTGACAAACAGTGTATGAAATAAGCTAAAAATCCAGCCAGACATCAGGACTGGTAACTTCAAAATGTTACCAGCCCAAAATGGATTTAACCAGACCAAATATGGTGAATTTACTTCGATGTATGGAACATCTAAGATTTGTACCAGACCATCGTAAATTTAGACCGTCCGTCAGAAAAAATAAGCCCGTCTGGGCGGTGGGACGGGTCTTATTTCATACACTGTGACAATAGGCATAGTCACATTAAGCATTCAATCAGCACTCTCTGTGAGGGCTCACATAGAAACAACTTGCTCAAAAAGTCACCCAACTTAAGATGCACAGTCACCTAACCAAACTGATTGCCATTACATCCTCTGAAGAAACACATTTCATCACAGCTTCACATTTTTATCAACACTGCTATAATGAATCAAAGCTCAAAAATATTTGTTAAACAGATACAGTCTCCAACCGGTTTATTTCATCCAGTGAAGCATGAGAAATGACATCAGGGATTATTTGTTCTTTAATCAGTTTTCATAAATTGTCTAAAATATCTGGAAATTGGATAGACTCCGGTTTGCACTGGTCAACATTCTGGCATCAAGTTGTGAAGGAGTCAATTTTGTATACGTATTATTATCTGAAAATATATGAACAACGCAAAGTATTTGAAAATACATCATCTTTGTTTTCCTTTGCTGTGACAACAATGGAATATAGTCATACATCTATCATTCCAAACTGTGTATTGTGGACATTGCGCTCAGTAGATAGTTACTCGCACATTATTCTGCCAAATTAACAGGATACAAGAATCTTGAATTTTGTTGGACTTAATTATGTCATCTAAGACATATAGGAAGTGTTCAGGGAAGACAAGATGAAATA